TATATAAGCAGTTTGGTTGCTTTTGCAGGCACCTGGCTCTGCTCCCATTCCTTGCATCTATGATCTAATTTCCTCTTCTCATCTCTCAGCTGGTTTCCACAATGCACACCGTTTAGAGAGTCATCATAGCATCCCCAGAGCTATTGAATTAGTCTGATCACTATTCTAAGAATTATGTATACTAATACTATGAATCTATTTAACTTTTACTAGTAGTATTTGCCCACAGCACTATCGCTGTCACCATTCAGTCTAGCTGAATTCTTACCTAAACTTAATATTAGAATTTAGGTGGTAGCACTAAAGTCATGGCTTGGACATGAATAGTTTGTTCTCTGAAGAAAGTATTTATTGAGTACAGCCATTACAATTTTTAATCCAGAAACGACAGAAAACTTTGCCTAAGTTAATACATAACAGAAACTTTGCATAAGTCTTGCATGGGTTGAAGGGAACCTGAGAGCAAGTAGGGAAGGAGAATAACCCCCACTGCCACCACAGCTCTGAGGCCATAGGCTCTGACTTATTTTTGCTGGGAGGTGGGGGATAGTGGGGCCTAAGAAGATGGACACATGGAAAGTTGTATTCATTCCAGGTGATAGCCCTCTTCCCAAGGGGAGCCAGGATCCTTGGCCCCCCATGTACTTGACACCTTTGTTCTTCACCAGTCCCACATTGATGTTTATGAACCTGCCCCTGCAGTCAATCAAATCCTGCTATATTATCCTTTGTGGATGAGATATTCACTTGTGTCTTCTGCAGAAATACTAGGCACCCATGAGTACCATTAGTGGCCCCTAAACAGTTTGGAAGCCTGTCATCCAAAAGCCAGCTATTATTTCAGATGTAGTAGCTACATCCATGACTTTCAGTTATAGTGTTAGGACGTAGTTACACTGTACAATTCTCACATACTAACTTTTGGACATTTGGCCAGTGTTAAAGTTAGCATGTGCAACCCTGACCTGCCACTACAGAGCTGGAGAGCATAGACGTGAGTAGGAGCTTACAAGTTTGCTTCATGTCTGCCCAGCTCACTGGCCCTCTAGCTGCAGTATATATCAAAGGGAATTGGGCACTGGCAGTAGGGGAGAAAAAGGGGTAGTAGACTGTTGTTCCCCCCTGCTGCCCAGATTGCTCCTCCAACTACTTAGATCACCACCCCACTCATAGGCAATGACTCCATGGGTGCTCCAAAAAAAATTAGCAGGTGCTCAGCACCCATGAGCCACATCAGGTCAGCTGGGTTGAAGTAACATGTTGCCTCTTCTGGACATGTGCAGTGCTCAGTGTGGGAAGGCAAAAAAAAAAAAGAAGCACCCACCGGCAAAAAACAAAGTAGATGCCTATGTGCAGTATGTAGAGCCAGTTCGGTGTATGGTGCACCCAGCATGGGGACTGGAGCTAACATGAGCACTGCATGCAGCAGGCAGGTCTAGTCCAGGGCATGAACTGCATCTGGCACCCACACTGGACTGACCCTGAATGCTGGATCCAGGGCCAGTCTGTATCAGGCCCTTGGACTAGCCCTGCATGCTGGATCCAGTGGACAGGGCCAATCTAGCATGAGCACCACATGCAGCATATACCCCAGACCCATCCTGCCCATGGGGCCAAATTAATTTAACACTCCTGCTTTAGGGGACCAAATTTCCCTTGTCCTGCCATGGTTCCTGAAACCCAATCAACCAACGTTAAAACTGTCACATCTTCCCAGCTTTGTTGAAGGTATAACGAGAAAATAAAACCTTTGGAGAAAGAGAGCTGCTCATATAGGCTCACAGAAACCATTCAGGACATGCTGCATAAGTCTACATTAATTATTGCTGTAAAAGAAAACCTAAATTCTTTCCCCCACTGCCCCATACTATTCCAAGATGGAGTGCAATGATGCAGTTCAGTATGCAGACAAATGTAATTTTCTATAAGGTGAGTTGCTACTTTGACAGATTGTTCTTCCATATTTTCCACTGCTTCCTTCTAGGAGGCTAAACCTGCCATATGTTTTCAAGAGGAAATCTGCCATAACATTTTCATTTCCTGGCCCACAGTATTTGTCAAATGTGTAAGCTGTAGATGCAACACTGACTGATCACCTCTAAGTGATCTAGGAGACACTTTCTTTCATCAAGCATAGGCATTGATATTTTATTTATAGGCTTCCTCTCTCCTACACTTTATCTTGTCTGTTTAGATTATAAACTCTTTGAGGCAGAGACTGTTACTATGCGTGTGCTTAGCACAACGGAGCCCCACAGGCAGAAGAATGAGGCAAATAACAACTCTGTGGTACTCATCACACTAGTATCTGACAAACTAAAGCATGTAATGAATTTGTCCTCCATTCACTACTCTGAAGCAGAGTGGTAGTAAAGTTCCAATTTCATGGATTGGGAACTGAAGCCCAGTCTCTAATTAGATGACTTACCGAAAATACCAACCCCCTCCCCCCCCCCGCCCCAACAAAAAAAGAGGCAAATCTGGGAATAGATCCCAAATTGCTTATATTCCAATTCAATGCCATAACAGACATGTCCTTCTCTTGAAACAATACTGTGCTTTCTGAAGTCTTGAAGTGAATTCTAGGTTAATACTAGAGAAACGTCTACAATGAACTGATCTGTTACTTCCTCTAGTGGCACTTCTGATCTCCCTTGGAGAATAACTTGACTTCAGTAGGTTATCAGCAGGGATCCTGATTTTCTCTGATTAAAAAAAAAATCCCCAATTTTTGGTTTAAAAAAGTAACACCAAATCCACATTTTTTCATATAACAGTGTTTCATTTAAATCATGGGAAAATGTGGAGGGGTTACTTTTTTAACTGAAAATCGGGGATTCTTTTTAAATCAGAGAAAACCAAGATCCCTGGTTATCAGCTAGTTTTCTTTCTCTTCAGTTGATGCTAATGTGATCTATGGCCATCATTAAAACACATCTCAGGAAATGTTTATCCCATAAATTCTACCTCCCTTCTAATGCTCAAACTCTAGGACCCATCATTTCAGATGGAAATTATGGGATGGAGTGCCCAGCATGACAGACATATGGCAAGAATCAATAGAGTCAGCTAGCATGCCAGAACTGATCCCATCATTTTAAAATCCTATGCATTTTGGGTGTGTGTACATGTGCGCTTTAATGTGCAGTAACCTATTCTACTGTGTATTAAAGCATCACATCAAAAATAGTGCTAATATGCAGTAGAATTAGTCTACTGGGCATTTAGCATCTCTAAATAGGCATCGGTTTTTGCTACTGAATATTAGGGCAGCCTAGTGTGCCTTTATGTAGTACTCCATATTAGGCAGTGCAGACAGAAGTGAGTGACAATTTTTGCCTAATCTGGCCATAAAAAGCAGTTTATAGACATGACCGAACACAAGTGCACAGCTGCAAACAGCTTTAAAAATGGCGGATAAGGTGAAAATCTGACCTCCTCATTGCATGAGGTATCAGATAAACATGTTACAAAACATAGTGTCTTTTGTAAGGTGTTTCTGTGGAGCTCCCTGCCTGTCTCTGTTTCAGAACGGGAAAGGGGAAAGTGAGCAGAGACAGTTCAGCCTGTGGGTTTATCAGCCCCTCCCTGAAGTTGGGGCAGGTTTATTGTAGTTCCCCCAAGTTGTGGGGCTCCAGTTCACTTACCCCACCCTTCTGCACCAGCTGGGGCACCCCAAGAATGAGCTTCACCTACTGCCTTTCCTCCCCTCCCATTCTGAAAACAACAAGCACTGGCAAAGAGCCCTGGCCACTGCTACGGGAACCTGGCTGCAGGCTCCCCTCCGCCCTGGAGCCAGCAGTGAACTTCTGTCTGGTCCGGGGGTAACCCTGTAACTCTGAACACTTGGCAAAAATTGTTCTGAGTTACAGCTGGGAGCATAGCTGACCCGAGCAAGGTGCAGGGCCCAGGGCAAATCAGCCCATCCCGCCCTCACTCCAAACCCACGTGCCCTGGACCCCGTTGGTGGTGGGATGGGGGGGTAGTGAGTGGCTAGATGCGAAGCTGGTGGTGGTGCGGAGTTGCCACAGCCGCTCCACCGAGCTCTGTGGGGCCCCCAAAGCGTGGGGCCCAGAGCGGTTGCCCCGTGCCCTGTTTCACTCCCCCCACTAGGGACGGCCCTAGCTGGGAGCTGCACTTCTGTCCCCACGCAGCGGTAATAAACTGAATGCTCAGTAGCAAATGCGCATTCAGGACTTTGAAAGTGTATTCTGGACCTACCTGCAGGCTCCCCTAGAGATGGGCCTGCTTAATTCAGCGCTGCACAGCCTTTTTGGACTCCAGGCAGTCCTCGGAAAATGTCAGCTCTACGTTTTCAGGAGTGGAAAAAAAAATAGCAGAGCGCTTCTTTTGTTGCAAAGACCTCAGGGGTGGTGGGGGGAGGGGGAGAAACCACAACAGGTTGGGTGGGTTTTAACCCTTCAAGATTTCTGCTGGAAACCTCTGGGCTTCTGTTGCCACCCAGCCCAACACTGCTGCCTGTGTGTGGCACTCCTGAAAGAAGTTCAAGGCACCTCAGGGCGCCTTGAGTATCGCTGTCTTCATGACTTTTTCTGCCACGAGAGGTGGGCGGAGGAAAGGGCGCTCGGCTTTTCTTATTATTAACTGGCTCGCTGCCTGGCTTCTTCTTAAGCAGGTCACGAAGAGCCGGGAGACAGCAAGCAGGGCGTTGCCAGGTGGGGACGGGCATGGGGCTCCTCGCGGGGGGGCAGCCCGGCTCTCTCGCCGCCCGCCCTCAGCCCGCTCCTCAAGCTTTGGGATGCTCGAAACTTTCTGAAAACTTGTTACCAATTCGGTCCTGGGCACCGGGGGAAGGGGCCGCCTGGGGCCGGGCACGAGCGTGGTCCAGCCCAGCCCCGGCGGCGCTCGGGACTAGGGCGGGCAGGACAGGCCGCGGAGCCCCGGCCCCGCGGGTTCCCGTCCCGAAGGGGCGTCGCAGCCACGCGCTTCCCCCCGCCCCCGGTCCCGCGGGAGGGCGGGGAAGGGCGGGTCTTGCAGGGGCTGCAGCCGCGGCGGGCTCCGGGCACCGCTGATGCGTGGACTATCCGCTGCTGCAACATGCCCGAGCCACGGTTCCGCTGACTGGAGTTAGCACACGGCGAGCTGGGCTGGACTGCAGCGCTGCCTTTCCTTATGAAGAGGACACAAGTGAGTGGGGGCCGGGCGCACGTGCCCTCCCAGGGCTGGGGCGGCTGGGGCCGGTGGCGGCTCCCCCGGGCGCACACGGCCGCATACACATGCACATAGACACACGCACAGACGGGCACAGGTACACACATAGCCGCACACAGTCATGCACGACACAGGTACACGCAGACAGGCACACGCACATAAGTGCACACACGCACATAGCTTGACAGGCGCACACAGCTGACAGGTACACACACACACTGTACATACACACATAGGTGCACACACACAGGCGCGCACAGGCTGACAGACGCACACTGGCATGCACGCACACACAGGCGCACACAGGCTGACAGGTACACGTGCACATAGGTGCACACACGCGCACACACAGGTTGACAGGTACACACACACACACACACACGCCGGGACGACTCTATTCCCTGCCTGGACCCTTGCACCCCCAACCTCGCCGCGCCGCGCCGCGCCGGGTGCCGGGCTCGGGCAGCCCCTCCCGCCTGGCCCGTAGGTGCGATGCGTTTCAGGCGCTGGGGCATAACCGGGGCGGCCTGGCGGAGGCCCTTGGCTTTCCAGCGCGAGGAGGTGGGTGGGACCGAAGCGGCGCCTCCGCCCCGCGGGGCTCGGCAAGTCGGCAGCTGCGGTTGGGAGCTCGGTTAGTGCTTTCCCCGGGGCGAGGCGATAGCGGCACCAGGGCTTGGCAGGTCCTGGGAGCCTCGCACGGGACAGAGCTGTTGCGAGGCTCCCTACTCGTGTCGCTACTCGGGCTGAGATGAGGGATGGCTTGAAGAATTCCCTTCTCGCCCTCTGCACAATGCAATTGGGAGAAAAGTTCCAGTAAATGGGTTGGGATGAGGCTCTGATCGCTGACGATTTCCGCTAAGAACCTAACCTTAATAAATAAGTTACATATGTTGCCAGCCATGCCCTCATTAGATAGGTATGTGCTAAACACAGTGGACCTAAAACGCCAACTAAAGAGACAGACATATAGCTCAGTGCTATTCTGATTAGCTTCATTCAAGCAGCTTGTACCATACAGGACTCCGTATACATTTTCCATAGCTGTTTGGCATTCTTCCCCTTGCCCTTCCTCACCCTAGTAATAAAGGATTGCTCTGTACAGATGTGGGACTTTGTGCCATTAGGTTGTGCATGAGATTACAATCACTGCACTGTGTATATTTTCAAAAGGGGGAGGGGGAGCATAGTTGGTGAGAAAGGAGCAGGGAAATAATTTTACAAGCCCCGAAAGCTCTGTCAAGGGTAATGTCTGAGACTGCAAGATAGCAAGTGCTTGTAAAAGTCCCACTGCCTTCAGTAAGAATCAAAAGTGCTCAATACCTCTAAACTAGTAGAAAAAGGGAAAGAAATACTAATAGTGTAACAGCAGCCCCAGTACAGCTAGGGGCTGCTTTTGTTCTGGATGTGCTGCTACCTGTTTCTTCTTATCTGAATGCTTCCTACCTTGGTCCTGGTAGCTCACTTAAGGTATATAGCTTAAGGTTTTGGTGTATAGCTAGGATTAGTACAATAAACTAATATTAAAGACAGAAAAAATAAAAGGAAAAATAACCAGAAATGTGCCTAACTGTTCTACTAAGCAGTCAAAATAGTCTACCAAGCGGACTAAGCGGTCTCTCAAAAGGAGGGAATAGGAAACCCTTGTCTCATGGGGCATTTAGACCTGGATTGGACAAAACCTGGGGAAATGTATTGCATAGAGAACACTTGTGTAGCAGCTGTAGAACTCAGTGGTCTGTAATTATAGCAACATCTTATCAAAATGAAAACTCATATAAAATGAATATCTACAATAAAATGATCAGCTAACATTGCTATAACTAACACTTGAGATCATCGGGTTGGCTTTCACCCCTTAGCTATTGTTCCAGCACTTACATACTCAGTACAGATGATTATTTGGAAGTGTTTCTTTGCAACGTAAGGGTAGAAACTTTAAAAGTGTATACCTTTATTTACAATGGAATTGCTAACAGCAAAACACTAATTGTAACCTATTCCAGTTTACTCTTGGATGCATGTATGGGGAATAGGAATGGTTAAAAGTTACCAAGTAAGGTGATTTGTGATCCTTGTCCAAGGACATGTTTAACTTACAAAAAATATCAGTTATCACTTATGAAGATCCCCCCCACACCCCAATTCATAAATGCAGGGCAAAGCAAGCATAGTGGTTCCACCAATTATACCCGAAAGCCAAGCAGTCTGGCATTCTGCACCATATGGCTTAACTCAGGGGTTCTAAAAAACATGGTCTATCCAACTGTTTCTATCACAGCAGTAAAGCATCTGTCAGCCTTCAAGCAGTTACGCTTCCTGCTTGTTGGAGGTAGTTATACAGGTTTAGGTTTCTAGAGCCTTTTTCTCAGCTATATAATCTTTAAAAAAAAAAAACATACAAGAATCATTAAGCCTCCTTCAAAGTTGCTGCATATTCCTTCTAACACTTGTGATCTAAGATGAAGGGATAGCAAGCACACAAGAAGCCAAAAACAAACAATTAATCATTCTGAAGAAATTGGAGTATGAGAAACTAAACAAAGTACTTTTCATAAGAAACATGAAGTGTTACATGCAGGAGAAGAAAGCAACTAACACAATTAAAAGAGAGGGGGTGTAACCAAAGTAGAAATTAGTATTTTGATATTGCTTTATTATTCCTTTCCATGTAACTGTGGATTATGTTTGTTGCAAAGAAAAGGAATGGAATTGGCAATCTAGGAAGGAAGCTGCCCACTAGATCTTTAAGAAGCAGATAAAATTCCAAAAAGTTTGAAAGGTGCTCCCTTAGCGGAATAAATTAAACTGATCAAGATCAAACGGCCTTAAAAAACTATACTTAAAATGAAAGAATCCAAGTTTCTGTTGTTTAGGATAATGTTCTACAAGGCATTGTGTTTAGTTGTTGCAGCTAAATGATTGATGAAATGATCATACACATCTGCAAGTGAAGTGCTGAAGCACAGTGGAGGAAAAATAGGATTTTTTTTTAAATATATGTAATAAGCCAAAGAAGCATTTTGATAATTTAAATCCTGAAATTCCTTCAAAACATGTACAATTAAATAAAAATGTAATTCCCTATTGAAACATAACTATAACTTCTACTTATGTAAAAATAGAACAGCAGTTTCCTTGATTATTAATGGTATGATTAAACATTCATATTCTCAATAATAATATGATTAAACATTTAGGGTCTAGTCCTACAAATTTTTTACTCGTAGGAACAATCCCAATTAAGTAATCTCACTGAAGGATTACATGAATGCAAGATTATGCATTTAGTAATTAAACATTATTACTTGAAGTGAGTTTGTACTAATAAGCAAAAAAATCACTGATATCAAAGAAATCTTTGAAATTTGAGGGAAATAAGATAATTGATGATGCTGTAAGGCACAAAATATTTACTGTGTTTCTAATTTCCTCATTCTTTCTTTGATTAAATGGCAGTCTAACAAGTATTGCATGGTTCATTCAGAAAAAATACTGCTAAGGGAGTTGCATGCAGAACTACCTAGAAACAATAGTGAGAGTAGCATCAACCAGCAGCTCTTGTAATTGCTAACTGTTTTAGAAAAGAGACCTGACATACCAGGCTAGACATATGGCTTCTTAGAAATATTAGTTCTGGAAAAGGGTTGAGGGGCAGAACATGGCTTTTATTCACTGTTGAATGGATGTATTTATTGCTGGTTACATGACCTTTTGGGCTTGTGTAGAGGGAATCCTTCATTCTTGCCTCTGGACAGGAAGGGAGCCTGTTTGGAAATTACAAACTATGTATGAAGGAAGTCAATTGAGATCATATTCAAGGAGAATGACGATCTATGTATTTGTCTTGCATAGCAGAAGGTTAAAATAAAGAGTAAAATATAGATCTGTTGCAAAATTATGTATGCTGAGCATATGCAGGCACTGTCTTGATGGAAGTACCAGCCAATGAAAATTAAATTCTAGCTCAATTTTCTCCTTCTCTGACAGGTGTTCAGGGGACAGTTTGAGATGGATCGTGTAGACCAGTAGTTCTTAGACTTTGTTGATTTGAGGCACCCCCAGGCAACTGTGGTACCCAATTTCAAAAATTTAAATTTATACATAACAGCACTTTGCTGCCTTGCAGAGAGGCCTGGGAGTGAGAATGGGGGACTGTCCAGGCAGGGACAGGCCTGAACCTGGGCTTATTTGTTTAGTTTATCTGCTTATCTCCTTATGCTTCACTTATCTCCTCACTCCCCACACCCTTCAAAAGATCTAGCAACACCCCAGGGTGCCCCATCACCCTTGCTGAAAATCACTAATGTAAATTGTATAGGGTTTCACAACAAGAATTCTATAAGCACTGCGTAGGCACAGATTTCTATAAGCCCTGCTTAGGAGACAGAAGCTGTAGAAGCCAGGATGCCATGCCATAACCAGTTAATAAAATAGGTCACTCCACAACTCTGCTTTTGTGTTTGCCTCTAGAAGATTAATTTGCTTAGTTTGAAATATTACATTTTGAACCTCCTGAAGTGTGTAAAAAAACAAACAAACAAAAAGCCCTTTTTGGAGGTAAAACAGTAGGGTTGTCTAGATATTCTCCGATCAATGGTTTAAAGTTGCACTGGTTTGCGTAGTCACCAGGCTATGCAAAAGTTAGAGTTGGCCAGATGTGCTGGTTGGCTTAGAGTGGGCAATGCTAAGTATGTAGTATACACAGCACCCATTTATTTGAAGCAGATCCTGAAAAAAAATATGTCTATACAAATCTGTTTGAGTAGTTTTGGAGCTGACATAAAAATGAAAGTATTTTGTTCTAAACTCGCTCTTTGGTATGCAAACCCCCATATAAGTTAAATTAACTTTCCAGACCTGCCACTTTTCCTTGGTGTACCGGTAGAAGGAAACTGGGAAGAGGGGAAGGTGTCACATTCTTATTTTTGTTGGCTGCTTATTAATTAAATTCGGATATTTTATTTAATTACATTTAT